TAATATATTTATCTATATTATTCTTGAAAAAAAATTGAAAGATAAAATAATTTTTTTTGTGATATAATAATTAATTAATATAAATAAATAATAATAGAATTAAAATAAAAATTTATTTGTCTATTTTAAAAAATAAAAGAATGATAAGTAATTTGAAGTAAATTTAAAATTAAAAAATTATTATTATTTTAAAATTTTAAAAAAAAAGTATATCAAGCCACAGCGTTAATTACATAAAATTGAATACTATAAAGCATATACTATTAATAAAAAAAGTTTTTTTTTTATTAAAAAATTATAAATATTAAATTATTTAAAAATTTAACGTATAAATTTAAATGAATATAACATTTAATGCAACATTTAGTGTTTAAAGATATTAATTATTAAGTGAGTTTTAAGGGTGAACGGTCCGCTCCGATCCAGTGACATTGAACTTTAGATTAAGATTATTCACTTTAGGTTAAAATTGTTCACTTTCGGTGTGTTGCACGTTCGAGTTCCAGAGAATCTCTTTTTTCCCTCCCCGATTAACCCTGTAAATAATTACAAATTGTTTAAAAAAAAAAAAATGAGTTTTTAGGGTAGTCCTTTAAGGACCTACTTTACATTAAGCTCTTTTGTATATAAGAAAATGTGTTTATCACCTCTAAAAAAATGTAAAAATTTATATTATTTTAATAAATTTCAGTAAAAAAAATCAAAATAATATATTTTAAAAACATAATGAGATTGAGAATGAAACTCTATTTGCCTTTTTCATTAATTCTATATTACATGGTTTATACTGTTGGGATGATTTTTTATTTAATTTTTTAAATGTCAAATAGATAAACAATAATCTCTACATATATTTGGTTGAATAATATTGTAGTTATTAGTTACATACTTAAGGCGTGAGGGGCTGAAGTTATTACCCTGCTTAATTTGTCAACGTTGAGTGAGAAAAATCTCACAAAAAGGCATATGAGATAAATATAAGAAGAGTTATTTCATATATTGTGAATTAATTTTAAATTAAATATAAATCTTAGGTTAAAATCAACTTGATATTGGATCTACGTGTAAAGAGGCATATTAAACTGTGTAACATGATTCAATATTCGTATTGAGTTTGTATATAAGAAGGTGTGTTAAGTGAAAATGTTTTTTAAAAAAAGTATATAAGATAAATATAAGGAGAGTTACTTTACATTTTATTAATTAATTTTAAATTAGATGTAAGTTTTGTATTGAAATTTTAAAGACTTAATGTTAATTAGTATTGTTTTGCTGATCAAAGAGTAATATAGCTTGGTGCCTACAAATTAATTAGCTTAATATACAACTGAAGTGTGCAAGATTCATTTTTG